GAAGTTGAAATTCGTAACTTTATATTTTGCCCAAAGAGCCAGCTTCACTTTAATTAGCCCCTGCAAATCCTCCCTAGAAACAGTAGAGCCTTGGAACTTGCATTCATTCCTTGCCTTCCACAATGACCACATTATGGCACATGGAAATGTATGCCAAAGCTTGTCTTCCACCCTTTTGAACTTGAATCCTGTCCAGCAGCTCCTCAATGGAACTTGGAACAATCCAATGCACTCCCCCCACCATGATAGAAAATTAGCCCAAATTTTCCACACAAACTGACAATGAAGCATTACAAGTAACACAGTTTCTTCATGGGCCTCACAGAATAAACAAAGAGAACTGGCATTAGCATCAAGAGCACCAACACTTTGTCAGAAAGATGTCTTCAGTCGACCTCCCCAAACCAACCAACCAACGTGACAGTCTATTCAAATATCTAATGCAACTCTCTTCCTCTCTCTTTCATATATTATCTAATTATTAGTCAATCGTCTCTTTACATATCACTAGATCTAAAAAATAGACTTTTATATCATTTTTATGCATAATCCCAAGATCTTTTTGGGCCATAACAAAAAAAAAAAAAAAATCACTTTGGTTTGTGTGCAAAAGCTAACCATACTTTGATTTGATAGATCCCACCACCGATTCAAGCCATAACCAACACCTCTTTGTGCTATAACCAACATCACTTTATGACATAACTTGCATATAATACATGTCATTCTAACAAATTAAGATTTTAAAGACAAAAATTTAGGGACCAAATCATTTTTTAGGTACAAAATAGTTTAGTAACCAAAAATGCCGTTGTACTTGTAGCAATAAAATTGGATATTTAATGATGAATTACTATCATTTTCGAATCAAATTTTTATCTAAAAAAATAAACCTTTTATGTAACCAAACTAATTGTCCCCAAGAGTGAATTTATTATCGACATTTTCAAAATTTTGTCAATAAAGTCATTTTTAAAAAAAATTTCAGACGATATTTTAGCGACTATTCTCATGATAACAAGAACTAGTCTCATTTTTTATTTTTATTTTTAAATAAAATTTTCATTTTACGAGATATAATTTTTTTAAAAACTCTTATATGTTATGTTATAGTGGACCTTTTATACTTGGCCTTTTATGAAATATTATGGAAAAGCTAACAATTGATTTAAAGATGTCTTGAATATGATTAGATATTAAGTGCAACACTGACACCACAAGATATTGGTCATATTGCATTCTTTTTATTTATCTATTTTTCTCATCCATCTTTGTAGCATAGAAGATAGAACCATGCCATGCATCAAGACCTGTATGTTTGGCCCAGTGAATGGCCTTGAAGGCATGAGAAAAGGATGGGAAAAATGGGACTTGAGGATTCTAGTCCTATACATCCTTTTTACTCAGTCATACCTTCATGTGTTTGGGCGTCATCGTAGAAAGGGTACGACACAGCTGATGATCAACGTGAATGTCTGGTTTTTCTACTTGTTCTCTGATTTACTGGCACAAATTGCACTCGGAAAGCTATCCAAGGTCAAAGGTGACGACGATGATATCAGTCCAATTGGTCTATTGAGGGGTTTATGGGCCCCAATAATCTTGTTTTATCTTGGAGGTCCAGATACCATGACCGTCTTACGCTTGGAAGAAAATCAAATGTGGTCGAGGCACGCTATAGGACTATTGACACAAGGTCTAAGAACAAGTTACGTCCTAATTCTAACTTGGAATTCTACCATGAGGTTCTCTCTTTTGGCCTTGCTGATGCTCTTTCCTGGACTTATCAGGTATGGAGAGAGTGTGGGTAATCAAGTCAATATCCGAGAAAAAGTATGTGGGTTTTGTTTGAATTGATGAAAACACAATTCGCAAAATCAGTAGTGCACAACCTAACTCGGAAGCGGGGCTAGTGCTCCAAGCTTATTCTTATTTCCAGACCTTAAATCCTCTTATTTCCAATTCTCAGCGTGATAGGTCCGAATTGACAAAAAAATTTCGTGAATTGTTGAATAAAGATGGTGCTGCTCACAAAACTTTCAAGTTGATTGAGATTGAGTTGGGGTTGATGTACGACATGCTCTTCAGTAAGATAGGCACAATTTTTACAGTATGTGGAAGCATTCTCAGACTCATTTGCATCGCTTGCATTGTCACTGTGTCAGTGGGCTTTTTCGTAGTTAAAAAGCCAAATGGGCATTTGAAAGGTGATCTTCCGATTACCATAATTTTGCTAGTTGGAGCCCTTTGTTTAGAAATAGGTGGAGCTCTTGTGCAACTTGGTTCAGATTGGGCAATTGTTTGGGCATGCAAGCATTACCCAAGTAAGTTGGTCACTCCGGTTTTTCATCTTCACGAATTTGTGATCTCTAAAAATAAAAGATGGTCTGAAGTTATGGGACAATCTAGGTTAAACTTTTGCAACAAAGATAAACCGACAAAGTCCCACCTACCACTGCATAGAGTCGATCTTAGTATCAAAGAACTTATCATCTGTCAGCTTGGTAAGATATCACAGAATGATTTGGAAGGTGAAACTCCACAGGCTTATACCATTAAAAGAGGTGAGTGGACCCTTGAAAAATATGGATTGGATGCTAATTGGAGTATCGTGCTAGAATTTGGCAAAAGTATTGTCATTTGGCACGTTGCTACAGACATTTGCTATGATTCAGAGCCAAAAAGTTCAAAGTCAGTCCCAAATATAGTGGAGACAACCAAAATATTGTCATATTACATGATGCATCTTCTGCTTTTTTGTCCTACTTTACCGTTCTGTAACAACGGTGAAAATGTGGATAAATTTTTTGAAGAAGCACAGTTTAATGGAGAAAAACTTGCCCGTAGTTTGGACGAGAAGGGGAACAACAAATGGGAGATCATGAGTAATATGTGGGTAGAGATGTTGTGCTATGCTGCGAGCTGCTGCTCGGTGGAACAACATGTTCAAGAGCTTAGGCGCGGTGGACAGTTTCTCACTCATGTCTGGCTTCTACTTAAGCACTGGGGTGCAACAAAAATGTTGGAGAAAAATGCATCTCAACAATTGAATGACAAAGAAGACAGAGAGTCAGAATTAGCGGATGTTGTTGAAGGATGTTGCTGCTGATACTTTTCAAGCCTTGAATAAGTGTCAAATTTCTGGGAGATGAGCTCATGCAAGTTTGAGTCAAACCATTTAGAAATTCTAGTTTCTTGTGTTTTGCAGATGTTGTTGTTTGATGTAGCTTTTGTTGCGTCCCCCTAAAACTTCTAGCGTTTGGCTTTGAGTTTTTTCTTGCTTTTAATCTCTGTGGTTTTGTTATGGTGTTAGTTTGCTTTAGTTGTAATGGCAAGGCTTCACTTGGATTGTATTTCTTTTTTGTACTGTTTCATATAATGAATTGATGGTTGCTTGATCCATGTGGACAATTTCTCACTCATGTCTGGCTTCTACTTAAGCACTGGCGTGCAACAAAAATGTTGGAGAAAAATGCATCTCAACAATTGAATGACAAAGAAGACAGAGAGTCAGAATTAGTGGATGTTGTTGAAGGATGTTGCTGCTAATACTTTTCAAGCCTTGAATAAGTGTCAAATTTCTGGGAGATGAGCTCATGCAAGTTTGAGTCAAACCATTTAGAAATTCTAGTTTCTTGTGTTTTGCAGATGTTGTTGTTTGATGTAGCTTTTGTTGCGTCCCCTTAAAGCTTCTAGCGTTTGGCTTTGAGTTTTTTCTTGCTTTTAATTTTTGTGGTTTTGTTATGGTGTTAGTTTGCTTTAGTTGTAATGGCAAGGCTTCACTTGGATTGTATTTCTTTTTTGTACTGTTTCATATAATGAATTGATGGTTGCTTGATCCATGTAATAATTTTAAGGTTTCGTGTGAGAGTTTGAATTACTTGATCCATGTAACAAATTTGTAAACTTGTAATATATAATTCAACGGTTGCTTTTTAAGTTTATTTTCTTTTAGCAGCTACCAAATGGTGGAAATTTTCCACCTGTGACTTATACATGTGTAAAAAATATATACTTAATATATAAAGGGGTATCTGAGTGATAATAGGATATGATATTAGGTTAGATAATTGATCATTATAGTGAAAATGATATGATTAATGAAATTATTTGGTAAGAAGAACAATTATTGTTTTGAATGATTATTTATTTATTCATTTCTGGACCTGTAAATATGGCCTAACGACGATGATATCAATCCAATGAATCTATTGAGGGGTTTATGGGCACCAATAATCTTGTTTTATCTTGGAGGTCCAGATACCATGACCACGCTTGGAAGAAAATCAAATGCGGTTGAGGCACACTACAGGACTATTTACACAAGGTCTAAGAACAAGTTACATCCTAATTCTAACTTGGACTTCTACCTTGAGGTTCTCTCTTTTGGCCTTGTTAATGCTCTTTCCTGGACTTATCAAGTATGGAGAGAGAGTGTGGGCAATCAAGTCAATATCCAAGAAAAAGTATGTAGATCTTGTTCGAATTGATGAAAACACAATTGGCAAAAGTAGGTGCACAACCTAATGCGGAGCTAGTGCTCCAAGCCTATTCTTATTTCGACCTTAAATCCTCATATTTCCAATTATGAGTGTGATAGGTCCGATGTGAACAAATCACTGCTGGAAAATTAACTTTTAGCGGCATTTTTAACAATGCCTCTATAGCCCTAAGAAACACCACAATAGGTTTTTTTGATATTTAAAGTTTTCATTGCAGATATGGTCGCCGCAATATCTTAGCAACGTTTCAAAAACATCGCTAAAAACATTAGACGGCGTTTTTAAAAATGTCACAAAATCTTCAATAACCACTACGTAATGATATCATTTAGTGGCATTTTTCCAAACGCCACCTTTCTTCATTTTCATACTTGCCTCGCATACGATGTCATGATGGCATCATTTAGTGACTTTTGTTTTCCAAAAAAACACCATTTTTTTTTTTTTTTGTTTTAATAACACAGCCCAATTAATTGAGAATTTAACTAGGAGCAGAGATTGAAAATTTAACTAGAGAGATAAAGAATTAACTAAGAATTTATATAAAAGAACACGTATTAGCTCAAATTTGAACTTGCACATGACTGAAATGAAAACTCTCAGGTAAGAAAAGTAAAAAAAAGAAGAAGAAACAAACAAAAGGAAATGGCAAGCCGATGGTATAAGTTCAGATGGCGAAGGGACCGAAGAGAAGTTTACAGGGACAACTCATTGGCAAATGATCTCTGATTTGGGATAAGAGTTCCCTGAAACCGATGATCTCTCAAACAACCACTGCAGTCTTTTTTCAAATGGGACAGTTATTCTTCGCACGAGCCATTGTTTGATGCAATTGAAGTGAAACTCATGCCCACAATTCAGCTTACCAAGCTCCTTTCCATCAACATAATCCTCCTGCAATTTGATTCAATAAATGGAAGCATCTGGTTTAATAGGGAGCTTTAACTTGAGAAAAAATAGACCCCATGAATTGGCAACTCCCTTCCTCCCAACTGCCAGAACTGGGTGTGGGGAGAGATGGTGAGTTGAATGGAGTTTGGTAATAAATACACTTAAAAAGTATAATATTTGTGGGGAAAAAAAATCTTCAAAAATTTCACTAAATACCAAAAATACAAACCTATAAAAATTCAATACATTTACGTATTATTGTGTATTTATTGATTTTTAAAATACTTTTTCACTAGTATTTTAGTTTTTAGGTGTATCTAGGTTAGGTGCATCTAGAAAGTAAAAAATTTGCTTAAAATATTAAAAAAATTCACTATAAACAAAAAAATAAAAAACTCAATTCTTAGAAAATCAATCAAAACCAGACAAGGTGACTAATTTTTTCAAAATTTTTTTCTTCTTTTTAGATCCCTCTAGACTAGTCAGACATAAAAATAAATTTTTTTTACACGAATCTAAAAAAAATTCACTAAAGACAAAAAAAAAATTGGAATAATATGTGACTTTTTTAGCTGATCCCAAATAGATAAGTTGCAAGACAGAATTTAAGTGTCCCTTACCTGACAAATACAACACGGTTCCTCTTCCACTGGAGGTCCTAATTTCATTGACAGATAACAATGCCGCCTCACAGCTGCCAAAATAGCTTCCTCACTCAATCCAGTGCTCACATTTCCAATTTGATCCTCCAGGGCCAACAACTCCTAATCCAAAGTCAATCATTTATGAGCCAAACTTCAATAATGGCAAGGACAAAAAAAGTGTCATGTAAATGATTATTTCAATTTATTAGTGTTATCTCATAAGACATATCGTCTACAGAAAGACGCATATTTTCATGCACATCAGGCTCCTCATAAAACAAAGGTTGTTCATGAACAATAATCCCATCCTGGCACACCACCATGAGTGCAAGTCGTAAAAAAATTACTTCTAACTAATAACTATATGGAGAACATGAACACGAAAACTCCAAGTTTCTGTCCATTTCCAAAAGAAAACACAAACTTGATAATCAAATCATAAAATAAACCAAGCAAAAGATCTAACCTCAACACAATGTAGGACTTGCAAGGCACGCCGAATCTGCTTATGGCAAAAAGAAAGATATTTAGAGATTTGATTGGGTAAAGAGAAAAAATGTTAGAAGGGAAAAGCAAAACATTAAGAAAGAATATGAAGATTAATTAATGGTATACACACTGCTACATCTTCAAAGGTACACAAGTTAAAGTAGCCGAGCTCAAATAAGTACAAAATGAAACATGGACACGGGGGAAGAGAAAGCAAAATTCAAGAGGACCCACATTCCCAAAACCTGCTTTTAAAAATAAAAAATAAAAACACGCGCGCGCGCGGTCTCTAGGTTTTCATGTATTTTTGAACATAGGTCCTCTGATTAACCAAAACAATTAGAAAACATAGTTTACTAGTTCTATTGAGCATGGTTACATTGGATATGCCTAAACCAAAACCATGACTATGTATCCATAAAACAATGACTATTTATCCATAAAAGAAGGGAATCAAAGAAGAGTCACTAGAGTGGAAATCAGGTGTCTGAACGAAACTCACAGATTTGAAAGAAACCTGGCAGTGTCAGAAAGCATAACAGCACAAAGGCAGCCCGTGTTCTGCCCTAATTTCTTCACCTGCTGGCAGATGTTGTTGGGGACATCAGATTTCTCATCCTGTGCTGCCATTGCACAAGGGGCCAATTTCAAAGCCTCCATTTCTGGAGTGACTTCCCACATGCCCTGACCCCATTTGCCCTTTCAAGCGTGCCAACGGCAATGACCACGAGGTCTTTTAATCATTTTGAATAATTTGAGAATTCAGAGAAAATTGCAGAATTATTTAATATTCGAGATCAGTTTATATAAAAGGCATTCTTCTCAAATGAGCATGAACTATGACAAAGTTTGTAGATAATCAACAGACGAAGAAATGAAGAAACAAAAATATGACATTCAGTCTTTTTCAGATGCTACAATGGAGGATTCTAAGGGATTGAAGTGCATAAGTCATCATTAAGATAAAACTCAAGCAAAAACAAGTAAATAAATGACTATAATACACCCACAATACATGGTTTCAATCTCTCATATTGGTTTCCTATAACTAAAATTAATTGCAGAATTATTGTTAATATTCGAGATCAGTTTATATAAAAGGCATTCTTCTCAAATAAGCATGAACTATGACAAAGTTTGTAGATAATCAACAGACAGAAATGAAGAAACAAAAATATGACATTCAGTCTTTTTCAGATGCTACAATGGAGGATTCTAAGGGATTGAAGTGCATAAGTCATCATTAAGATAAAACTCAAGCAAAAACAAGTAAATAAATGACTATAATACACCCACAATACATGGTTTCAATCTCTCATATTGGTTTCCTATAACTAAAATTGCAAAATAAACAGAAATCAAACAAAATTCAATATGTAATTCACTACACACATCCACAATCCACGAAAAACCAAATAAATACCAATTAAAGTAGATCTTAATTAGCACGATCTATCCCAACTCAAGTATAAGATTCTTGAAACTAAAAATTTTACAATCACAATTAAAATAAATTGGAAAATCAAAGAAACACAATAAATTAAATCACTAATGTGTCCACAATTCAAGAGAAAGGGAAATAAGGAATGAGTTTACACATACTCTATCACTTTTTAGAGGCAATGCAGCTTTGCATTTCTTGGGCTTAGTTGGGGTCACAACAACACCACTTTCCACAACACCCTCTTGGAGTTGTTCAGTTTTTTCTGCAAGCTCTGCTTCAGCAACTGTAGACACCCCATTTTTGACCGTCCTCAAGACTTGGACGTCACCGTTTGAACACTCGGTGATCATCCATGATTGTGTTCGTTTGGAGTTCCCGGAGGTCTCGGCTCGCGCACCCTACCTCAGGATCTCCGAACTTGACCGTGTGGTGTCCGGTTTTGTACCGAACACTTTTGTTTTGCCTTAGAAGGGCAGGGAATGCCTTGTGAGACACCCCCATACACCACCGGCAGTGGCTGGAGGCCACCGGCACAAGATTCAAAACATATGAAATAATAATCAAACTAAAAATTAAATCTGGTTAACAAGATACAAGGTGTCATGCTAGTCCCTCTGAATCCCACTTTATCAAAATAACCAAGTATTAATTCATCAAAGAAGATTCCAACAAACCTGAATCCAATGTCTGTACGTAGAAAACAGGAAAAACACCATCACAACTATAATTAAGCTGTATAAAATAACTGTAGTGGCACCGATACGACTTGGACCCTTCTTCTTCTTGCTTTGTTGTAGCAGAGCTTGAGGTTTAATCCTTGCCATGATTTGTCAGCCTCAACTCCCAAGGACTACAAAATCCCAGGATCCAGCACTCAAATCCAAATCTCTATAACCAAACACCCTTTAAAGGAATTCCATAACATATAAATCAAACAGCCAGGTTTTGGATCCAATCTGAACTTTCAAAGAACTTCATAGGTATCTTTGAATAAGACACACACACAATAACCAGAATTCAAGAGGATCAAAATACATAGATAAGTGAGAAAAATAAAAACTTGGGATTTTTTTTGAAGCTTGATCTACAACCTCATACTAACAATCGATTAGACAGCTATGAAGTAACAAAGAAAATTACATAGAAAAGTAAACAAAAACACTGCTTGGTTACTGAGAAAAAATTGAAATTTCAAATGTTAAAGATCTCAACATAATTCAATCGGCTCAGTACTTGACGCACAACAATGAACAAAATCAAATCCTAGGACCAAGATTTGGATCAAACAATAGAGATTTACGTAGATCTGAACAAAAACTTACACAGAGAGATCCTAAATGTACACTACTAAGCATTTGAGGATGTCAATATGCGTATAGGGACTAAAACTTACAGATCTGAACGAAAGCAATCAATCGATCAAATCCAGAGAGAGAGAGTGTTTGATATCGATCAATAGACTAAAAATCAATCGATCAATCGATCGATCGATCTGTGTTCTCTTTAACATAAATTAGTATTGTTGAATGTATAGATGAGAAGAAGAAGAAGAAGAAATAGAACGAGAGAAAGCTGCTGTATAATATTGATTCAAAAAGCATAGGGTTTCCCCCTTACACATAACTACTTATACTAATAAGAATAATACATAAAGACCAAACTACCCCTAACACTTAACACTCCCCCTCAAGTTGGTGCAAAGATGTTTCTCATGCTCAACTTGCAACAAATAGGATGAAAGACTTTACTACTAAGACCCTTAATAAAAACATCCGCCAGTTGATCTTCAGACTTAACAAAAGGCATACATATCAAACCCTTAATCAATTTCTCCTTAATGAAATGTCTGTCAATCTCAATATGCTTAGTCCGATCATGTTGAACAAGATTGTGTGCTATACTAATAGCAGCCTTGTTGTCGCAATACAAAGTCATGGGACCACTCCAATCAAGCCCTATATCACTCAACAAAGATTGAAGCCACATTAGTTCACATGTTCCATGTGCCATAGCCCTGTATTCAGCTTCAGCACTACATCTAGAAACAACCGCTTGCTTCTTACTACGCCATGTGACTAAATTTCCCCCTACAAAAGCACAATAACCGAAGATAGAGCGTCAGTCATCTATAGAGCCTGTCCAATCTGCATCTGTGAACGCTTCCAACCGCAAGTGACCATTGATTAGAGAACAAAATTCATTTTCCAGGGGCAAATTTAAGGTACCTCAAAATACGATAGACTGCATCCAAATGAGTTGCACGAGGATCATGCATAAACTAACTCACTATCCCAACTGCATAGGCAATATCTGGACAAGTATGAGAGAGATATATCAGTCTTCCCACAAGTCTTTGGTACCTTTCCTTCTCCACAGGCTCACCAATTCCACTACAAAGATGATGATTAGTCTCAATTGGTGAATCAGCTGGTCTACAGCCCAACATGCCCGTTTCCTCAAGAAGATCTAGAATGTACTTCCTTTGAGAAATAAAGATGCCTTTATCAGATCAAGCAACTTCAATCCCAAGAAAGTATCGCAATGGACCAAGTTCTTTTATCTCAAACTCCTTGGCTAACTGCATCTTGAGATGGGTCACCTCCTCCTCATCATTACCTGTCACAACTATGTCATCCACATATACAATAAGCACTATTACCTTATGTACATTGCGTTTGACAAACAAGGTGTGATCCGCATTGCTTTGCTGATACCCAAATCCCAGCATTGCCTTGAGAAATCTACCAAACCAGGTTCTAGGAGATTGTTTCAAACCGTACAAAGCCTTCTTTAATCTACAAACCTTTCCAACTGTAGACTGAGATGAGAATCCTGGAGGTACATCCATATATACCTCCTCCTCCAAATCCCCATGAAGAAAAGCATTCTTCAGATCTAGTTGTTGTAGAGGCCATCACAAATTAGCCGCACATGACAGAATAGCCCAAATGGAATTCATCTTTGCTACCGGGGCAAAAGTTTCTTGATAATCTACTCCATATGTTTGGGTAAATCCCTTGGCCACTAGTCTTGCTTTGTACCGTTCAATCGTCCCATCTGCATTGTGTTTAATGGTGAACACCCACTCACATCCGACTGGTTTTTTCCCATTCGGAAGAGACATCAACTCTCATATGTTATTTTTACTCAAAGCTTGCATCTCTTCTACCATAGCTACCTTCCACTTAAGATCATTGATGGCTTCTTTCCAACCCTGCGGAATACACAGAAGAAAGGGACGAAACAAAAGCACAATACGGAGAAGGCAACGAATCATATGACACGAATTTAGAAATAGGGTGTTGAGTACAAGCTCTAACCCCCTTTCTGAGAGCAATAGGAAGACTCAAATCATCCGTAACAGGACCATCAACAACAGGTGAAGAAATGAGATGAGGATCATTACCTGAAGAGTTAGTGGACACTGGGTGTGGAACTGGCATAGGAGATGATGATTGACTTGGTGGCACAAGAGAAGCCGGCTCTTTCTGACGCCGTGAATAAGTCTTAAGATCAGCTTTGTCCAAACGACCACCGATATCCGACTCCTCATCAACAGAACTTCTAGGCTCCCCCTCACCACAAATAATAGCCCGCTGAGTAGGAAGGAAAAAAGACAACTCATGTTGATATGATGCCGTCTCATCCGCAATCTCATTGATACCACGCTCCCCCTGAGGGGATGGCGGAGGACCAGAAAAGAATGACTTGAATTCACGGAAGGTGACATCCATACTAACATACAGCTTATGAGAGTGAGGGTCATAGCATTTGTAGCCTTTTTGAGTAGCAGAATAACCAAGAAAGGCACACCGGACAGCCTTAGGATCAAGCTTCCCACGAGTACGAGGGTGAAGATGAGACACAACCAAAAACCCAAGGCGGAAGGGAAGAAATGGGATAAGTCACAGGAAGAAGCTCAAGAGGAAGTTGGAAGTGAGGGACACTAGATGGCATACGGTTAATAAGGTAAGTCGCGGTAAGAACTACATCCCCCCAAAAGGAATTAGGAACGTTCATGGTAAACAAGAGAGAGCGAGCAACCTCAAGGAGATGGCCAATCTTACGTTCAGCAACTCCATTCTGTTCAGGAGTGCCAACACAACTAGTCTGATAAAGAATGCCATGCTCGTCCAGGTATGCCCGGAAAGCGCCATCAACACACTCAGTCTCATTATCACTCCTAAGAATTTTGATAGTAGCATTGAAAAGATTGGATACCATTTTATGAAAACTTTTGAAGTAAGAGAAAACCTCATTTTTTGTACGAAGTAAATAAAGCCAAGTCACACGGGAATAACAATCAATAAATGTGACAAACCAACGATAACCAGAGGTAGAAACAACAGGGAAAGGACCCCACACATCGGTATGAATAAGCATAAAAGGAAAAGTACTTCTTTTATTAATTGAAGGATAACAAGTACGTTTATGCTTAGCAAGCTCACAAGAATCACAAACAAAGTTATTCCTAGGACAATCACGAACTAATGGACCCTTACCACCACCTGGAGGCTAAAAAGGCGGAGTATCACGTGACTTGGGGCCGACAACCATCGTTGACCGATCCGGAACAGGAGCATGCACCATAGCACTACGACGACTCTCCTCCTACTAAACCAAGGCATAAGCCTCACGCAATGTAGGAAACGGAGCGCAACCCAACACCTGAACCCGTATTTGATAATACTCCAAATTCAAACCAGCAAGAAAATCATACACCCGCTCCTTCTCCACAGCCTGCTGAAACATAGTGGCATCTTTAGAGCAAACTGGTTGGAAACTCTAGTAAAAATCTAGCTCTTGCCACAAACCACTCAACTCAGCATAGTAGACTGCCAGAGAGCGATCCTTTTGATCCAAACCCCTAATCTTCTTACGCAATTCATAGGCCTGTGCATCATTCCCTTGTTGAGAATACATCTAAGAGGCTGCTATCCAGATCTTGTGAGCAATATCCATCAAGAGAAAAGTCCGACTAATGATAGGCTCCATAGAATTGATGAGCCAGGTCATAACTAAAGCATTCTCAGAAATTCATTGAGCAGATAAAGCACTATCCTCAGTAGGTGGCTCGGTACTCCCAGTATTATAGCCAGTCAAACGCCTGGCAACAATGGCAAGACTACAGGAGCGGGACCAAATCAAGTAATTAAAACCATTAAGTTTGACCGGACTAATCTGGAGAGAAGGACTATCACCAAGAGTAAGACCACGACTCAGTCCACTCTCCTCCTTACCCTTAGAGTACTGACCCAAGTTGTCAGCCATGAGATGAGAAAAGATGGTGCAAAAAACACAAGCTGGATATCAAACAAGTCCAGAAATCACCCAACCAGCACACCAAAAACACCTTCTAAGGCTAAAACAGTCCAAGAGAAATCCAAAATAGAGCAACCAGATCAACTACAAGCCAGAAAATCGAAACAGAGCATCTGAACAGCGATAAAAAAACCAAGATAGGGCCAAAATACATCAAACCAAGGACAATAAACCCTCTAGGGTTCCAGTCAGCTCCCAAGGATAGGAGAATAAGGGACAGAACCAGAAAAAATATGATCAAACAGTGGTTTTCGAAAAATCACCCAATTTTGACGAAAAATCAAAAAAATTAGAAAACTCAATCAATAATGACCAAACAATCAAAATGAGATTATAGGGTGATTACCCATTAATTTTGGAGCATATTGTAATTTTTTTTTTATTTTTTTTTATTTTTTTTTTTTTAGCTTTGCTTTGCTATAACAGATGTACCAAGAACAGTATGAAGCCTAAGGAACAATCTTCAAGGAAGAAGATTATAGCGATCCCGGGTTTACCCTTGTTGTACAGTGATCCGGACATGTGTCCGTAGATGTTGGTAGTTGGTTATTATCTTGTTTACATCCTTTTTACTTTGTATTTGAGTTATAGGATGTGTTGGGAGGGTTTGTTACAGGTTGGTTAGGCCTTGGTTTCAAATTCCTTGTTGTTCAGTTTTTGGGCGTTCCGCTCGAGCGGGTCTTCTTGCGCTCGAGCGGAGATTGCACACTTCCAGTATTTTCGTGCGTCTGCAAAACTTCTGCAGATGTGGTTTTTACGCTCAAGCGGGTTTGTTGACGCTCGAGCGGGTGGCGCTCGAGCGGGTCTGTTAGCGCTCGAGCGGGTAGTACTTTCTGGGCGTAAGTTCTGGGAGGTGGAGATCTGAGCTCGAGCGGACTGGTTTTCGCGCTCGAGCGGAAGTGTTTTATTCTTGTGTCTTGGCGCTCGAGCGGGCATTATTGCGCTCGAGCGTGTCCAGAGTTTTGTTCTTGGCGCTCGAGCGTCGTGTTCTCCGCTCGAGCGGGTCATACGTATATGAGTTATCCGCTGGGTGGTTTCAAATCACTTTTTGCTTTCCTTTCTCTCTCCTACTTTTTCAAAAAGCCATTTTGAGAGCCTCTCTCTAGATACTCCCTTCTCTCTAGGGTTTGATCTAGTTAGAGTGTTTTCCTCGCCTTCGGCCATTGTTAAAGTTGTGTTGATCGTCGAGGGCGTCGTTCTAATCTGAAAATCTCAGGTTTTGGAGCACGTTGGGTTTTGTCGTCTTCTCCTTTGGGGCTCCGAAATTGAGGTAGGGATATCCTACTCCTCTCTATGGTCTTTGTCTTTAAATTTTGGTATTTTGAGATGTTGGGGTTGGTTTGGTAATTTCGTGAAAGTTTGGGGCTTTTGTGTAATTTTACAAAAGTTGGGGTTTTATTTATAATAAACCTAGATGCATGTTTGACATAGAGAAAAGGAATAAATGATGAATCATTGACGAAAACGGGACCTTTAGGGTTGTAATGTTAATTATGGAATTGACCTAATTACATTGTTGATTAATTGGGATAATTAATTGTGAGAAATGAGGAAAATGGAATAGAAATGTTGAAATTGGGAACGTATGGGAAAAAGGGGTGTAGTTGAATTAATAATCACTCACCGAATTGAATGTTGATTTAATATCCATTGTGCATTTATTTCCTGTTTAGAAATAACTGCTTTGGGCTATCGGTGGAGGATAGTCGTGATTGTTGTAGACAATGCATGATGATTAGGCAAACTAAAACTAATCGATTGAATGTGTCATAGAATATGACGGTGGATTGAATACATTAAATTTACGTATTGATTGATTGTATATAGAACCATTGTGTTTATATGCATTATGTGTAGAGGAGGAGATGGGGGATGTACTCCGCGGTTTAGGGGAAGATGGGGGATGTACCTCTAAACCGGATAGATTTGGGAGGAGATGGGGGATGAACTCCGTAGACAGAGCTCATATGCTTGTCTAAAGAAATGAAGATAGAGCTCATATGCTTATCTTTGAGAAGTGTAAATATAGCTCATATGCTTGTCTAGAGAAGTGAAGATAGAGCTCATATGCTTATCTTTGAGAAGTGTAGATATAGCTCATATGCTTGTCTAGAGAAGTGAAGATAGGGCTAACATGCTTATCTTTGTGAAATGTGGATGTAGCTTATATGCTTATCTGTGAATGTGGGATATAGGTTGTATATATATCTGTTGAGTTAATGATAGAGCTAATATGCTTATCTGTTGAAAAAGGGAAAATGAAAGGTAACTTGGACTCATAAGTCGTTTGTCATATAATGTAATTTATATGGACGCATCAGTGTTGGCCATCTATCAATTGCTAATCTTTTAGTCATTGTTCATGGTTGGTTTAGTGTATTTCTACTGGGCTGTGGCTCACCCTATATGGGAATATCATTTTCAGGTACAGGTAGCATGCCACCTCCAAGGACATAGCTTGGGAGGCCAGAGGCGGACTTTTGTGTTTTGTTTTTACTTTTGATGTATTACATGTAATTTCAAGCCAAGGGCTTAAATTGTAAATGAGTTAGTGCTCTTTTGTTGTAACCAAGTGTTAACTTGGAAAGCTGTAAGCCCGTAGGGCATTTGCTTTTGTTGTTAACATGTAATACTTTTGTAAGGATTAATTCTGATTAATAGAAGAATGTGGATATTTGCATGTCAATGAATGTCTTTAATTGTGGGTTTAATGTCATTATTTTGAGGGCGTTACAAAGATAGTGCTCTGATACCATGTTGAATGTATAGATGAGAAGAAGAAGAAGAATAAGAAGAAGAAATAGTCAAGGAAGAAGATAGTGCTCTGACACCATGTTGAATGTATAGATGAGAAGAAGAAGAAGAAGAATAAGAAGAAGAAATAGAACGAGAGAAAGCTGTTGTATAATATTGATTCAAAAAGCATAGGATTTCCCCCTTACACATAACTACTTATACTAATAAGAATAATACATAAAGACCAAACTACCCCTAACACTTAACAAGTATATATATATCACACAAATCTGAGATCTTAGATACAGATTTGTGTTCGTATATAAACAAAATCAAAAAATCAGAGAATGAGACTCACAAAATTAATCTTCAAATCGGACTGATCAAGAGCTTTGAGCCAAGATGGAGAGAGTCGGATAGAGAGATCGTAAATCGGAGCCTACGATGCTCGATCTAGTGAACTTTCACCATAAGAAAGAGGAGTGATGAAGAGACAGAACCCTAGATCTATCTCAGGACTGACTGAGAAAAATAAAAAACGCGTGGGCCTTGAAAGGGAAAATATGTTGGTACAAGTAGCACGCGTTTTTCAAAATGAGTTGCTTGTAAAGTATTTTTGAAAACTTTTGAAACAACGTTTTTTGAAAAAACGCCATAGCAAAATCGTTGTTATAACCTAATTTTCTTGTAGTGAATTGACAAAAAAAAATTCGTGAATTGATGAAGATAATGCTGCTCACAATACTTTCAAGTTGATTGAGATTGAGTTGGGGTTGATGTATGACATGCTCTTCAGTAAGGTAGGCACAATTTTTACAGAATGGAAGCATTCTCAGACTCATTTGCATCTCTTGCATTGTCACTGTGTTGGTGGGCTTTTTCTTAGTTTAAAAGCCTGATGGGCATTTGAAAGGTGATCTTCCGATAACCATAATTTTGCTAGTTGGAGCCATTTGTTTAGAAATAGGCGGAGCTCTTGTACAACTTGGTTCAGATTGGGCAATTTTTTGGGCATGTAAGCATTACCCAAGTAAGTTGGTCACTCCGGTTTTTCATCTTCACAAATTTGTGATCTCTAAAAACAAAGATGGTCTGAGGTTATGGGACAATTTGGGTTAAACTTTTGCAACAAATATACAACAACAAAGTTCAGCCTACCATCGCATAGAGTCAACCTTAGTATCAAAGAACTTATCATCTGTCAGCTGAAAGATTTGGAAGTTGAAACTCCACAGGCTTATACCATTAAAAGAGGTGAGTGGACCCTTGAAAAATATGAATTGGATGCTAATTGGAGTATCAAGCTAGAATTTGGCAAAAGTATTGCCGTTTGGCACGTTGCTACAGACATTTGCTATCGTTCAGAACCAGAAAGTTCAAAGTCAGTCCCAAACAAAGTGGAAACAACCAAAATATTGTCATATTACATGATGCATCTTCTGCTTTTTTGTCCTACTTTATCTTTCTGTAACAACAATGAAAATTTTACTCAAGCTTATCCTAATGTGGAGAAATTTTTTGAAGAAGCACAGTTTAATGGAGAAAAACTTGCCCCTAGTTTAATGGAGAAGCAGGACAAATGGGAGATCATGAGTAATATATGGGTAGAGATGTTGTGCTATGCTGTCTTTGTTGTACTGTTTCATATAACGAATTGATGGTTGCTTGATCCATGTGATAATTTTAAGGTTTCGTATGAGAGCTTGAATTACTTGATCCATGTAACAATTTTGTAAACTTGTAATATATAATTTAATGGTTCCTTTTTGAGTTTATTTTCTTTTAGTGCCTACAAAAAAATATATACTTAATTGTTGGAAATCAAGCTATTGTTAATATAATAATACCCCAGCTGTATGCTTATATCATTAATATATATTTAATATATATTAGTTAGTGCTTCTCCATCAGATGCTTTGTTAGTGCTTCTCCATCATATGCTTAGTTGTAGTGCTTTGCTTAGTTGTATAGGTAGTGCCTTCTCATCAGATGCTTCGCTTTCGGCTGCTTTTTATTTCTATATGTTTTCTTTCATGCTGTAGTATCATAATGATGTTGTATCAGCTCTCCTATATAATGGAGCCTTCTCTTCAGGTTTAATACACATTTTTGAATTACAGAGCGTATTAGCTCTTTCAATCACTCTCTCAATATTTCTTTCATTAATATATAAAAGGGTATCTAAGTGATAATAGGATATGATATTAGGTTAGACAATTGATCATTATAGTGAAAATGATATGATTGATGAAATTATTTGGTGAGGACAATTATTGTTTTGAAGGATTACGGCACCAAAAAAAGATTTTTACGGCGCCAAATGCACGCCATGGATACGATTCTACGACGCACAAGGTACATCATAACTAGTCATGGAAAGTCATTCACTTTTAACGGCATGCCATAGCATGCCATTAAAACTTTTAACAGCACATCCTATACGTCATGTTTAATTTTTCCAAAAATTGTCTGTGCATTACAAATCATCCAAAAACTATGTTTCTAAACATCAAAAATTGTTCTCAACTTCAAAACCATCCAAAAAGTTCTAAAGATATTAGAAAATTCATAGTAGCTTGGATTCCGTCTTCAAAAGCTTCCCTTCTTAGAGCAACCAAACTTGAAACAACATCAGTAGAAAGAGCATATATTAGATCATAAGCATGGATAAACTACTCCCTCCCAAGAAAATAAGATAGTGGCTCATACCTGCATGAATTAAACTGATTTGATTACTTCATAATAACCATTATAAAGTTAGCACTTAGCATTAATTTTTGCCTAGGATAGCTCTAATTCCAACTTCTATAAAATACTCCCTCCCAAGAGAGATTACGAGACTGCCACTGAAAACTAACAGTTATGGTTTTGAACAAATTTATTTAATGAGATGGAATGTGCCCAATAGGTGTTCAAGTTTTCTACACTTCCAAATCTAAAAAGATTCAATACATCTAAGAGAACTGTATGATAAAATAAGGCATGTTCTATTTCATACCATATGGAATAGGAGAACGTATTGTAGAGGTGGTAATCACTTACATTTGCTTCAGCAGCAGGATTGACATTCCCCAATGCAAAGAAAGATCCACCAAGAATAACTACTCTCTTGACCTTGCTTGCAAAGGATGAGTCCCTTTTCATTGCCTGATCAAACAAACGCATGCTTCTTGAGTGTAAAGGTTACACACCCGAAAAATTTGAAGATGTCATTATTTGTGAGAGTGAACAAAAAGGAAAGATATTAAAACTTACTAAAGCAAAATTTGTCAATGGTCCCAGCACAAGTATGGATACTTCACCAGGATATTTAGAAACCATATCCACCAAAAATTCCGATGCCTTCTTCTTAATTTTCTTGGATTTTGGAGGAGGTAAGGAAATGTTCCCTAATCCATCAGAACCATGAACGAAGTCTGCAACACGTGGTCTTCCACCCTAGTAAAGCACAACTCAATTTTGAATCTCCACCTAACTAATGCATTGAAATGTGGGTAGCCCACTATTACCTCCTAACTATACCAATTATAGTTGCATCAAACAACACTGCAGTGCATCCTTTACTGTTCAAAATCAACAAACAATTGCAGAAGTGGAGAATACCAGACGTAAGGTAACCTAAAAAAAAATAGGCCAGATGTAGTATGTGTAATGATAATCACCAATCCATACTGTACCTGGCCTGCCCTTATCGGGCCATCACTGTCTAATGTTAACTATTCTGTTTGAAGTATGCCTAATGTGTAGATTAGATGTTTGAAGAGAACAGCTAGTGTGGAATAAGCCAATGCATGCATCTGTTCAGATAGTAGCAGGTATAATGCACTTGTGGCAACAAGCCTTTCTCAACTCCTAGAATCCAGAGTAGCAATCTGTCTTCGCAGTATTCTCTTTACTCCAAAAACACTAAGTGTGACACTAAAAATATTGGTTTGAAGAAGGAAGTGGTTTTCCCAATTCCAACCCCAATGGTTAGCTCAACAGGTAAGGCTTTGGGAGACACCCAAGGCCTAAGGTCCCCTATTCAAGTCTTGGGGCCACCTACAATAGGGCATAAGCCCTATGACTTAACTGAAGTGCATGGTCCGTGGAGATTATGGTGACAGAGGGAGGTTTACGGTAGATTAGAGGTTCCATCAAAGTTTGCTAAACCATGGGTTCCTCCCCATCCAAAATAAATAAATAAATAAATTTTCCAATGCCCATTCTAAAGTTGCTTTCTCAACCAACTCGCTATCTCAAACAAAAACTCAACATAGTTACAAGTTAGAGCCTCATCTTTCATACGAAGGTTCAAATGCCTAAGAAAAGGGAGCTTGTGATAGGTACACAATTAATGTACCCTTGAGTAAAACCTTCGTAATCTCAAAGGTCAAGAAAGTGATTGTAGATTTAGTAGAATGGTGTTAAAGGATTCATTAAACTAATCCCTAATAGTTTATAGGCTTCATTCAGTTGAATCTAAGTTGTGTAAAAATCTAAAACACATATGATGGCACAATAAAATGTAAAGAATTGAAATGATAATTCATGTTGGTCACCTACCCATCAGAATCCTTCTTTCTCTTGGAGGGAAGCACCTATCACGCTTTCACCAAGATTAGCAATCTAGGAAGCTACAACACAAATCACAGCCTCGGGTCCATTTATCTGTTTTCCAATTATTTTTTCAAGAGAAGGAAAAATACAGATTTGGTCAGATATCTTATGAAGATATAAACATAAAAGTGCCGGTTGAAAGATTCTAATAACACAAAGCTTAAAAAAAACAGACAAGCAGAATGAAAGTTCCGACCATCTTAATGCTGTTTTAAGTTTTGTTCATAAAGGAGACAAGCAAAGTGAAAAAAGAGAAAAAGATTGAAAGAATGTGGAGGGAATGAGAGTCGAATATTTAGAATTGTAAAAACAAAGAGAATTTATTATACCTCACCCATCAGATAACCAACGAAAGAAAGGAGAATTGATGCTAAAAGTCCAGCAACGGTTCCCTCAACACTAACAGCTCCTTCGGTTCCCCTTGGAACTATCTTAAATGTCGTGACTCGTGACTAGATACCTGCATTAAAAGCAGCAATTTTAAAGCATGCACACCATATATATTTATTTAATTGAACATTTTGTAGGAGGTCATTAATGCTTGGATACCGTGACGGAATTGACAAAGAAAACTTGAAAGGTTTGTAAAATATTAAAATAATGTTTTTTCCTGGGATACACAGATAGATTTTAACTGAGAAACTCACAGAACCAGAATATAATCTGGAGAATGCATCTACTGTAAAACAAGTATCATGTCGATGACTTCAAAATTCAAAACACACATTTTCTACTAACTTGAGGTGCAAATAGCATCCTTTTAGGATAGATAAATCTCTTAAGATGCTACTCATGCTTCCTAGGATAAATCTCAACCATTTAAAGCATTTGACACAAATCACCCTCCTCAACTGGACCAAAAATCAATCCCAGGAGTAGAATTTGTGGGTTCCATTCAACATACCAATTGCAATAATTTTAGCTTCCATTATTCGAGATAGAATCCAGTGTATGTAATACTAACATATAACTGGCAGTAGTCTCATCAAAATCTCAACCATTGATCAAAACTCAACACAACTTTTAAGTTATCATGTGGCAGGATGGGAACCTAAGATAGCATGATAGATCACCTAATAACAAATTTTATGCACAATAATAACAACAAAGGTTTTATAACCATACCAACCTATAAAATTTACTGCCATAAATGAGAATCCTAAAAAAACCTAGGAAACCACAAGTTAAAAGATGCACCACTTACGTTGTTTTTCCATATGCTTTTCCTATTTCACTTGAGACAGTATCACTCAATTTAGTACAGAAACTGCAGATAGCTTGTGATTTAATTCCATTTAACCTAATTAACACAAGCCTGTTAGAAACTACATAGTCACATCATCCCATTCAAACCACCAGTAGAGAGGCTGTTTGTCTTTGAGCAGCAGCTTCTTCATCATCATAGGCACCTGAATTACCAACACCAAAATAAAATAAGAGCCACTAAGTGACCATATTCCTAGAAATAATTACGAAAAAAAAAAAAAAAGAAACTATATTTAATTGGAACATACCAAGATGACTGCATCATTTCATTAGGATTCAAA